AGTTGTGTTGTGTAGAATGGAATTGAGGTTAGTGAATAATAACTGTGCACATTCCCTAATTGTTGTTGTCCCTTTTTTATTTTTGGTTTTCTTTAGTTGCATAGGTTTTATGAGAATTTTTTATTTTGAGTTTGTTGTACATATGATGGTTTTTTTAGGCAGTTGTATTGTGATTAGTTTTTTTGTGGTTGTCGTATATGTTTATTAATTTTTTGTTTGTTTAATTGCTATATTTGTTGTGTGTTTTTTTATAAGTATAGGAGATTAGTTTATAAGTATTTTGTCATTTGTTTTGTATTGATTACTGTGGGTTTGATAGAAAAAAGGCATTCGTTACTTATGATTTTAGCTTTGTAATGTAGTGTTTTGGTCAAAATCGGATTTGAATTATTTTTTATAAAGGTTAAGAGAGTTTAGTTGTTAGCCAGAAGATTAGATATAGTCATGTGGGCAGATAGGGGAGATGTAGATTGATCTGCATATGAGTTACTGTGTTTTTCACCATTGATGTTGCCTTCTTGAATTAACTTGGATAAATTTTCTAAGTTAAAATTTTATCTTAGTCATATTTTTCCTCTCAAAACTATCATCAATCACTTACCTTACCTATCATCCCTTTGTCAGACTCAAACGTCAAATTACATCACTTATTTTTATTACATGTCTAATCATTTATATATTTCTTTCCTAAAAAATCACATCACTTATTTTTATCATATATTTAATTATTTAATATTTGATTAATTTGTAGTTAATATATTTTCAAAAAATATAATATAGTGGGATCGATTTTTTAGACGCTAGAATTTTATATTTTATCATGCCTTCAAGCAAGGGTTATGACTATAGATAATTAAGTCTACTATTTTTTTTAAAACTCCAAAATACCTTTCTTATGAGTTAAAAATAATCTTCAATATTAAATTAATTTTCTAAATAGTTATTGTTTATTCACGATTAATAAAAATTTATTTCCTATAAAATCTAAAATTCAAATTTAAATTTAAATCTGACATCAAGCTTTTTCACAAATTTTATTCCCTCTCTTTGGCTATCTCTTCATTGGCAGACGAAAACCACCAATCACACAAATACTGACACAATTCTCTGTAAACTATCGATTCGCTTTTTCCCTTATCTATGCGTACCCTTCCATGGTGGGAAGAGAATTTTGGAAAGATGATGATGAGTCAGAACTCCACAGAAGGGCGAAGATTTGCTCGCATGTTACTTAAAATGAGTAATTTGGGTCCATTACACCCTTGCCCACGAGAGAGGAGCTACCACCTCCACCTTTACACCCTTTCTCATTCCTTCTCTTCCCCTAATTCGATCTTCTTTTCTTTTGATTCGCTCTCTCTACTATCTTTCTCCCAGCTGCCTTTTGTTGCGGCTACTAGGATTCTGCCTCTTTCTATATATATATATTTATGGGAGAGAGGGAGGAAAAGAGATTTGAACCCTTGACCAGGTGACGTCTTCGTACTATTGGATCAAAGATGGGTTTTGTGTTTTTAAATCTTTTGGTGATTTAGATTGTTAGATTTTTGGGATTTTGGAGGAGAAAGATGGAGAAGAATCGGATACAAATCTTACTTAGAAATTTTCTAAGTTAGAATTTTCTTTGTAATACAAGATAATCAAGAATGAATACAATGCCTTCAAGAGGCTTCAATTATGAATAAAGGGTATCAATTGAGGAGATTGTATAGTATAATTCTTACTAAATGCTCTTCACTTCATCCGCTTGCATTATGGAATCAATTTTCAAAACAGATATGTGATGACCTTGCACACAAGATTCGTACGATCTTTGGCATTGTGAGTCCAACACAAGATCAGATAGAAGATTATGGGTTATATCTAATGAATCAACTTCTTCATGAGTCAGGCAAGGGTCTAATTGATTTTCCGCCTATGTTGTAACCAATTGAGAACTGGAATGTAGTTGTTGGTAACATATTGTTATTTGAACATCAAAAACTCCAGAATGAAGCGCAACAAACAATTTCAGAAATTGATATTGACTGCCTTAATGATACACAACGCAATGCTTATGTTGTAATCACTTCATCCGTATTTGACAATAAGGGAAACACATTTTTCTTGAATGGGGGTCCCGGAACAGGAAAGACATTTCTATACAATACAGTTGCTACTAAATTGTGTAGTCTTGGACATGTTGTTGTCGTGGCTTCTTCCGGAATTGCATCATTATTACTTTTTGCATTTTTTTGGAAGTGCTTGAGAATTCGGTTTGTAAATTTACCAAGCAATCTATGCACACAGAGTTATTCAGAAAAACAAAACTCATAATATGAGATGACATTCCTATGCAACATAGATTTTGTGTTGAGGTAGTAGATCGTACACTCTAGGATATTTGTGACAGCAAAAAGTCATTTGGGGGTATCACAGTTGTTCTTGGTGAAGACTTTAGACAAATCTTGTCAATTATACCAAAGAGAGTTCGCGAGAAATTTGTGGGTGTTTCATTGAGGCGGTCTATGTTATGGAGGGATATACATGTTTTGACCTTAGATTTAAACATGCGTTTGAATATAACAAATGTTGAAAACACAAATTTTACAAATTTCTTAATGGAGGTAACATTTCATTGATATCCAAATTTGTGAATATATATTGAATATATTGATTTTGATTATTCACTATTTGTGTGCTTTTATTTTTAGACTGGCGCTAACCCACAAGACATTATAGAACTTCCATTAGCAATACATAAATGTAACAATCTCCACGAATTGATTTACAGTATTTTTCCACGATTAGAAGTGGTTGGTACAATGACCCCAGAATGACGATGTTAGTGCTATAAATGCCGCAGCATTGCAAATTTGCTCCTGGGAGACAGTTACATATTTAGCTGCAGACAAAATGTCAGATGCTGATGAAATTGATCGAACCATCACAAATCGATTTCCTAATAAGTATTTGAACTCTTTGAATCCTTCAAGTTTCCACCTTTCTTGTTAGAGCTGAAAGTGGGTTGTCCAATAATGTTGTTGAGGAACATTGCACCGAAAGATGATCTTTGTAATGGGACGCGATTGATGGTTGTCAGATGTGGTATGCGTGTAATTGAAACTAGAATATTAAATGGAGATAAATCTGGTAACTTGGTCTTCATTCCAAGAATATCTTTGACACCGACAACTTATGAATTGCCCTTTCAAATGACTAGACGTCAATTTCCTATCCGGTTAACATATGTTATAACAATTAATAAGTCTCAATGACAATCTGTGAAATTTGTTAGAGTTGATTTGCGAACACCAGTCTTTAGTCATGGACATCTATATGTTGCACTATCTAGATGCACATCTTCTAATCGTTTACACGTCCTTCTCCCTGAAGATGGGTCGAATGCACGACAAATATTGTGTACCCTGAGGTTTTGCTATAATGGTCCATATTCTACAAGGACGAAATGGTATAAATTACTTGCAAGTTTATTTCTGTTGATTGCAAATATTTTAAAATGTTATTTTATTGATCAAACATTTTATTTCATCTATAGAATTGGGATGAAGAAATGTAGGAGTTAAAAAGAATAAATGCAACCCATCTTTTTCGAGGGAATGTTTGAATAAGGTAACTAAATTTATTTGTTATAGTTTATTTTTTATTTTTAAATTTTTAATTTTAAAATCTCTGTCGCGTATTAAATTTAACTAGTTTTGTAAATGCTAGATTGTTATACATTTCCCCAGTTGGAAGATGTGGATTTGGATTGATACAATGACATTCAAGGCTGTGATGGAGAGAGAGTACTTATAATGATGTGCAGAAAATCCGCATTTTGATGAATTAGATTCAAGAATGACTCATTTTGTAAATGTACTATATATAATTATATTTTGTGATTCATATTTCACTAAACTCATGACACATGATATATGGCAAGTTAGGTTGTGTCCGAGAATAATGCTTGATTATTTTGCAAGCAAATTTAATGTTTGATTTTTTTTAGTTGTACCGTGCCTTTAGGTACGGGTTATCCCTGTGTTTCGGATTTACAATTTTTTTTTCTTGACATATTTCGATAATTGATTATATTTCAAATGTTTTCAGCTATACATTGAAGGATATGGAGACGAAGTTGAAGGTGTTTTTCTATTTGTGCAAGTGTGTATTTTTTTGTATTATGTTTTTTGTACAGTTAACTAATTATACATGGTTATGATGGTTTTGTTTTTGTGATTTGAATACACATGGTTATGATGATTGTGGTGATATATATAATTGTAAGTTTTATAGACAGATTTAGATTTTTTTGGGTTTCTATTTTTAGATGAAATTCTGTCCAAATTTTTTGAAATTAGTAGGGATTAGCTTGATGTTTTGGTGGTTGAATATGTGTTGATGATTGGGTATGTATTGATTATTGTGGTAGTATGATGTATTATTGTAAGTTTTATAGACAGATTTAGATTTTTTTGGACTTCTATTTTTAAAAGAAACTCTGCCCAAATTTCTTGAAATTAGTAGGGATTAGTTTGATATTTTGGTGGTTGGATATGTGTTAATGATTGTGTATGTATTGATTATTGTGGTGGTATGGTAAATTATTGTAAGTTTTATAGACAGGTTTATATTTTTTTGGAGTTCTATTTTTAGAGGAAACTCTACCCAAATTTCTTGAAATTAGTAGGGATTAGCTTGATGTTTTGGTGGTTAAATATGTGTTGATGATTGTGTATGTATTGATTATTGTGGTGGTATAGTGAATTATGATGATTGTAAATTCTGTAAACAAGGTTACATTTTTATGGGTTTTTTATTTTTAGAGAAAATTTCTGAATATTTGTATGGACTACTTTGATTTCAAATTGACAAATTGTAAAGAGTCTTTAGGTAATGTAAGATTCTTCGAGTTTTAAGTTACATGATACTACCTTGATTTCGGGCAATTACTAGTAGGATTATATTAATTGTTGTCAAATTAAATAATTTTTTATTAACATGAATATTGACACGAACCCGACATATACCGAAAGTGATACGACACGAAAATAACACGAGTGAAACCAAAATACAAAACACCACCAACCAATTAACAAATCAAAGAATTTCTGTACAAAGTCCTACCTATGTACTTGGGGTTGTAGCAAAACCAAAATACAAAACACCACCTTTATGAAAAGCACAAGATGGTGGGATCTGAGAGAAATATCAGTAAGCAACCCTTTTGAGTCTGATTCCACAACTCGAATCTGCGACGTCTCGATGAAGTGAACGAATGCTTGTCAATCGTTCCAACTACAACTTCTAAAACACCACCTTTGTTCTTCTACCAAATTTTTGAACGAGAGAACACTTCATCTTCTGCCAACCTGCATGCTCTCTAGAAGTGGTTCCACAACCCCTTTTGTTTTCAACATCTTTTCGATGATGTTCTCGACTCAAATTTAATTCTCGTTCTTTCTATCCTGATTTCATCACTGTTAACTGTAGCTGATCCTACCACCGCCCTGGCTGCTTAAAACAGGAATCTTTCATGAAAGAAACCAGCTCATTTCCGAGTTAAAAATATACCTTCCCTTATTAGCTCTGCCCGTTATTTCTTGTCCTAATTTGCTCGTGAGCTTTCAACGCCGCTGAAGTGAATTCCTCCAAAGCCTTGAAAATAGGTACCAAACCTCCCTGCAAACTACTAGAAGCTGCATCATGCACTAATTTCACAGCCTCTTTGTGTCTTGCTTTCTCTTCGGCCAACCTTTCTTTTATCGAATCCAAATCTACCTTTAGATCATCCAATGGCGAAACTCCACGTTCAGATGGAACAATTGACACCCCAGTTTTTCCTGATATTGTATCCTGCTGATGTTTCATTCTTCCTCTCTCCATCTGAAGTGTTCTTAGCCGTTTCTCAAAATCCTTCGAAATGTAGTCTGCTTTCAGTCTCTGGCGCTGCTCGTCATCTTGTCTCTCCCATAAGCGTCGCAAGCTCGAAGCAAAATTACGCATTGCATTTGCCACCCCAGCTTCTGAAATTGTTTCTATAGCTTGATACCAATCGTTGCAAACTACAAAAATCAGAGGAGCTCCAATCCTGCCCGGCGAGAAGGGAACAGGTCCATCGGGGGTTTCTTCTGGCTGATAATCAAGGCACTGCAGAAGCCACCCATTTAAGGACTCAACATAGGACTTCTGAGTGTTAATCCAATCATTAAAACAGTTGCACCATCTAAGGAGCTCCATTTCGAGTTCAAGAGTAGCCCTCAAGCTAGTATCTCTTCTAGAGCCACTGTTTGCTCTCAAATTTCGAATTTTACTCTCCTTGATAGCTTGAAACTGCTTCTGGTGACACTTGAGCATGGACTTCCACATTCTTACTAGTCTGCAAATAAAAATACAAATAATCATTTCTAAAGAAAAAGGACAAGCATTCAGCATTACATGATCAATTTCGGGTGCGGTAGAGAACCTCCAGAATGATCAACATTTCAATCCCCACCTTGCCCACCCAAACACATTCCCTAGAATGGAGTTTTTTTTTTTTTTGGTGGATTTTTTGGTTTGCCACGTGTGTTGAGGGGGGAGGGGGGAGGTCTCTCAAATTTTTTCTTTCCCAGCACTTGAGTGCACTGCAAAGTTTCACAACCCAGAACTACAGTCACTTTTTATCCAAATATAAAGGGTGATGAAACATCTCTTAAAAAAATTATTACATAGCAAGGGATTATAACTTCCTTTTTTATTTGGACAGGATGTCCTGGGATCAGATGTCTTTTTAGTAGATGATCAACCTTCTTACCATTTACAAGAAGCCTGACGTATTTATTTTGCTTTGATATCATGCAACATATCATGGCGCAGAAATTGCTTCAAGAGGGGAAAAACCATTCACTCCCCACATTTATATGGATAAAGAAAGCCTAAGAATATAGTGACCCCACACTATAATTATAGCCACAAATATGAACTATAAGGTATTACCCCACCTAGTTAACAGGAACAGAAAAGGAAAACCAAGACAACCAGGGAATGAGGAAAAAAGGGATTCGGGGGTAACAGACAATAGCCAACATGTCTGTTGTCATCCTCTAGAATTTTTACAATAGGTGTAGGACATAAATCGGGTCAAGAATATAAAAAAAATGCATGAACAACATGATCTAAATTAAATTCGTACCCTTGGATCAACTCAGTGACTTGAGGCTGCAACTCCTCATCCCTCAGCTTGTGTATCCTGATTGATATAGCATCAATAGCTTTGATACAAATATTGAGTTTTGTCAACAACTTTCTAATTGAAGCCCGCGTTGCATCAAGCTTACTAGTCTCTGCTCCTCGGTCATCCAAAACCTTCAGTTTCTTGCACTTCTTTTCATAACTTACTCTAAGCCTTTCCTCATCCTAAAATCAGAGCAATGGCCTTATAAAACTAAGCAAAATTCATAGCAACTGGGCAGTATAAAGCACCCACATACAATGCAGAAAAGAATAGCTATATACATTACAATAGTGACATAGAGGCTTAAAACATCCAAGTAGACATGGGAAGGAGCACATTAATATTATGTTATGTTTACATTAGATGCACCAAATGACTACCACCAGGATTTGTTGAAGCAATTTACTATTCTTTTTAGACCAGATATGTTGGAAGCATATTGTGCCCCATAAAATTCTTTCTTTAAAAGAGCTCAGAGGGTAGTTCCTACTTAATT